GTTATGACTTATCATGGCAGTTTATCTAGTAGGTTGGTCAAAAACGTGGTAGATTGACTATTGATGATGATGAACAAAGCCAACAAAGGAAGAAGATCCGTTTAGGAGTACCTGCGACCCAGTGGATTTCTGTATATAATGCTAGGCTTCCAATGAAACAAAGGTAGATTTATGTATATTCTGTTTAATCTTTTGTTGTTTTCTGATCCTAGGAAATTTACTATTGTAAATACTTTTTTTCTTCTGAGCATTATAAATACTATCGTAAAATGTCCATTGTCTGTTGGTTGCCTCTATTATTGACAGTCCTCTTTGTAACAACTGTGAATTGTTTATGAAAACTCGTTTTTTCTTTTGGAAATTCTGGCTAAATCGTGTGGGTATTATATTTTCAGGAGTATTAGCTAGATTGAAATGCTTACTTTTAAGCATATGTAAATTACTGTTCAATTATGTATAACAGATTATGCTGAAGCGGTAAGTTTTTGATAAATGAAGCAAGAACATTCTATTATCATAATCCTAATTTGATGTATAATACGAATGAAATAGAACAATATTTTGTATATTATATTATCTCGTTTGGAATCAAAAGAACAAACAGGTGAGAATTTAAATCTTGGTCCGATATTGGTCTTTCAGAATTCTATTGGTCCGGTATGGTACTGGTATATTGCTTGGTATACTGACCCATACTACCTGTTATCACCTCAAAAGGCTAATAAAATTTAATACCAACTAGTACTGGATCATATGGTCCATACCAGTCCTTGATTGGACACAAACCTAATGGTATTTGAAACCATGCTTCCAGGTATTCATTTTTAATTTATTAAAAAATAATTTGGACAAATATCCAAACCATATATAAGAACTATCCTAAAAGTGTTATATCCAATGCATTTTCGAAGCTGACATAGCATGCAATCTCATGCTAGATCTTAACTTTACAAAGTGTTATTTTTTACACATTATGAGTGTTATTTTTACAAAGTACACTGGTTTTGCTAAAGAACTAAATGAAATGATTGCAATATAAAATAAAATTGAAATTCAAACTTTGTAAATATAAGCTATAAATATTTACTTTAATCTTCAGTAGTTTTAAAAGAGTGCCCTTCAGATTGATGGTTTTTTAGAAGAAAGGAGAATGTCCTTCATCAGCATGATCTTTGTGACAAAATGTGGGCTATCCTTCACGATTCTCTCTTTCTCTCTCTCGTGTGTGCTTATAAGAGAATTTTAAATCTGGGGTATTTAGATCTTTTTATTTATCTTTTGTGGGGCATTCTTATTTTTTTTCTACAGCCTGTATTTTTAGCATTGTTTACTGTTTACATAGGTCTTCTTTGTGTGTGATTAGGTACCACTACAATGTCGCTGATGCACGTCTGGCACAACATATAGACAAGGGAAATGAGGATGGTTTACTTATTAGTTGTGTTGCATCGAGCTCCAATTTGTGGGCCCTTATTATGGATGCAGGAACTGGTTTCACATCTCAGATCTATGAGTTGTCACCATTCTTTCTCCACAAGGTATGATGAGATTATATGCTAACCTCTTGGTATTAATTTACAATGACTTTATTAATAAAGTAAAGTGATGCAGGAATGGGTTATGGATCAATGGGAGAAGAACTACTATATAACTTCTCTTGCTGGTTCCAACAATGGAAGTTCTCTTGTAGTTATGTCGAAAGGTTTGTCTTATGTGAGAAATTGATGACCATGTTTTACACTGTTAGAACTTCTCACCAATCAAGTAATAAACAATTATGCAGAAATATGTCATGTATTGGTTATTGAATTATATAAACTCGTATCATGTAAATAATTGACATTTTTTAAATTTGGCCAACTGCTTTGAAGTCAGTAATATTAGTTGATGTTTGTGAGCCTGAAAGAAAGCATTTGTCAAGGATAGGCTTTAATCTCTGGTTCTTGGCTTCCGAAAGCAATTTCACAAATTTTGTATCTAAAACATCTTTGAGTTTATTGTTGCCCTTTGCAAGTAAGCCATTCTTCGATGCAGGATCATCAAATGCATGCTTAGAAAGTAGTAAAAACAACTGACCATGGACTGTAATTAGAGGGGAAATATAAATATGATGAGGAAAGAACACCCAATAGAAAAAAAAAAGGGGGGGTAGATTTGTGCCAGAGGGAAAGAGAAGAGGGGTGCAGGGAACGAAGACTTTATGTTTTGTGGTCCCACTAAAACACAAAATCACCTCTACCTCTGTTTAGATGTTTCTACAACCTCCCTCCAGCCCACACTAAATGGAAAAAGAAAGGACAAAAGAGTTGCTATGGGGAATTTGGTCCTTCCTTTTGGTTAGAGAAGTTATTCATAAAAAGTACATCTGCAAGATGCTATGCTTTTGGTTAGATTTCTTCAAGTCGTACAAATGCTATGCTCTTTTGACAAATTATCTTTGATATTTAACTACATCTACAATTCAACTCAGGCACCCAATACACGCAGCAGTCTTACAAAGTAAGCGAATCTTTCCCCTTCAAATGGATAAACAAGAAGTGGAAAGAAGGATTTCATGTCACATCGATGGCAACAGCTGGGAGCCGATGGGGCATTGTCATGTCACGCAATGCTGGTTTTAGTGATCAGGTATGCTGCAATTTTCTCAACCTTGTCTCAGTGACGTACCGCTGTCTGTGCCAAATGAGAATTTTTTTTGTTCAATTGTTCTTAGAAGTCAAGATCTGTACTAAACTGTAGCAAAATTTTCTTGCTATTTCTGTTAAGTTTATGGTGATATGTTTATTAGTGTCTCCCATAAGTGATGAGATCCTATCAACTTGCTTATGTAGCTTAGCTATTATAGTATTGATTACATGATGGTATTAGAATCTGATGTATAACTGAAGATGCTTGCATCCTGATCCGCTGCTTTCGCAGGTTGTTGAATTAGACTTCCTGTATCCAAGTGAGGGCATCCACAGACGTTGGGACAATGGATATCGCATTACTTGTATGGGTGCCACTTGGGATCAGGCTGCTCTTATCCTTAGTGTGCCCAAGCGGAAGCCTTGTGATGAGACTCAGGAAACCCTTAGAACATCAGCATTTCCAAGTGCCCATGTTAAGGTATGCATATCAATTTGACTATGTTCCAATAAAATACTGTTGGTCACGCCACATCTATTTTTTGTTTTGTGTGCATAAGTGGTCTCACTTGATCAAAATGAAGAGAATAGAATGAGTATCTTGTTCTAGTTTACAGCATCTGTTTTTAATGGGTCTACTTGATTGCCTGTTATTGCGCCATATAATACAAGTTATTGTTTTCTGTAAATTGCTTAGCTATCTAATTTAACCTGATTTTGATTCACAGGATAAATGGGCAAAGAATCTGTACCTTGCTTCGATCTGCTATGGACGGACCGTATCATGATATACTTATTTCAGCCAACCTACATCCTAGACATCTTTCATGCTTCGTGGAACATGTTAATATAGCTTAGACATCGATTGAGTGATGATCGCGTCATAGTGAGCCTGGTGTAGGCTATGTTACTGTATTTATTTATTTCCCTTGTTTAATTGTAAATCTGTTTGCCTGGACATGCTTATGCTTATACCATGAGGAAATGTGGTTGCAGGCTGTGATGAATCAAGAAGCAGCAGCCTTCCTGTGGTATCATAGCAAGTGGATAGTCGAGGATGGCCACAGAAGCATGAGAATTAGGATTCTGGTCTCTGGCGTTTTACAGGCTGTCTAATATGATGATTAATTATTGTCTCATGAGCTTGACATAATGAATTTATGCAATAATGCAGATAGAGGAAGGAATGACATTTCAAACTATTCTCTTGTATGTTACGAAACTGTTGTCAACCATATGATCTGTTTGTCTGCTGGTTGATCTACTTTCAAAATATTACCTGGTTTTGATCAAATGAACCCAAAGAAGATGACGTTTTTATCATTAGGCTGGTAATTTTTCACATGAACGATACTAGAAAATACTCTCTACTAATGTCACTACTCAATTCAGAGTACTTGGCTTCGTAAGCACTATTCTTGTTGAATTCAATATATCAAAAACAGTTTGATATATGCAGGACGAAGAGATGAATCAACTGCGGAGATTAGTCTCACGATATCAAAGAGGATTAATAGGATTGGATTATACACATTAAATTTAATCCCTAAAGGATAAGCTTTTAACCCATATTGATGTCAAATCTGTGTATAATAATCAAAAAGGATTATATATATATATATATATATACGTCTTAATATTTCAATAATTTAAATAGGAGAAATTGGGTCAAATAGATTATGCTTTAAGCCCTCTTCGAATCCTATTTCGTGACTGATGTAGTTGCTAATTTCACTAACTGCTGCTGCTCCTTTGATCAAACATATTTTTTATATAAATTAAAAAAAAAACATATTGAATGAGATTTCAAGTAAGCAAATCATCAGTTGAACAATGTCATAGATATAACAATATATTAAATACGATCCTAAACTCTCAGTGTTTTGTAGGTGAATTCTCAATTTCATATGAAAGCTGTTGTTTAAGTCGCGGGTGAGACCAGCGTGGCAGTCGTTACTTAGGCGCAACATCATGGATGTGAGGGATAAATCAAGTCAAGTAGATTTACCTTATGGTTAATAATGGTTATAGAAGACATTTAAGCAACTAATTTGTCTTCAACGATTTAATACTTGCCATTTATTGCGTATTACTCTCTTTTTATCGCACACAAAAAAAATACTTATCCTTATTTATCTCCATGTTACGGGATGGAAAATCCTCATTCGTGACCTATCCGTATCAGCCACCTGCCTTGATATTGGAGGCAGAAATGTGCCGAATTTGGTGAAATGGGATCCTTTCCAATTCATCCTCCTGTTAACAGAAATTGGATTTTTACGTGGCAGGTACTAGAAATTGGATTCGTAAATTTAATGGTTAAGATTTGACTTGAAAAATGGGTGGTTACGATGGAGATTGGAGAGGATCCTTGCGGTCACCGACACCTGCCCTCTCCGAAACCCACCGCCCTCTTCGTCCTCGTCTTCCACTTCCACAGAACCATCGATGAGATCAGCTGCGCCGCGGTGACCTGGTGATGTCCCATTTCTACTACCTTCTTGGCCGATTCACTTCCATCGAGACAGTGGTGATCTCCTCTAGAAGCTGCTCGTTTCCCTCGGGGTTTTCTCGTCGAAGCTTTTCGTTTCCTTGGACGTTCTTGACCCGATCCTGCTTCTTTCTTTGGCAGCCCATGTCGAAGAAGGTGATCACGAGAGAGGAGTGGGAGAGGAAACTCAAGGATGTCAAGATTAGGAAGGAGGACATGAATAAGCTCGTCATGAACTTTCTCGTCACCGAGGGCTACGTGGAGGCGGCCGAGAAGTTCCGGGTCGAATCCGGCACCGAGCGTATCCTCCCCCATTGCTTCAAAGAACAAAGAAAAAGGAAGATGATTTCTTGACAAGGGTTTCGTTTGTGTTATTCTTGTTGATTTAGTGCCGTGTGGTTTGGTTTTCCTTATGAAGGGATCAGCGGACATTGATCTTGCCACGATAACTGATCGCATGGCCGTGAAGAAGGCGCTGCAGTCGGGCAATGTCGAGGATGCGATCGAGAAAGTTAATGATTTGAACCCCACGGTAAGATCCATTTGATCTCTGACTGCCGTATGTAGGAGAGATGATTCAACTTCTCTTTTAGGTTTATGTTCTGTGCGATCTAATCAAGAAACAGAGGAGTGGAAGAATGTGATTGAGAGTAGCTTAATTGAGGACCTTTATTGCTGTCAACATTACCTATGGGGGGAAATTGTGATCCTTTGTGAGAAAAGAGTAGTTTGTGACCTGCTCGTTGCCTTAATCTCTCCATCTTGGGACTTCTTATCTCTGCATAGCATATGGTCGATAGCCTTGGGAGAAGCCAATTTCTCTTTTAGGTTTATGTTCGGTGCAATCTACTGATGCTACTAATCAAGAAACAGAGAGATGGAAGAATGTGAACAAGAGTCACCTAATGACTAGGAATGAAGTCAGAGAAGAGCTTTATAGCCAACGAGACTACCCTACAAATGAAAATTGTGAACCTGGTGAGGAAGGAAGAGTCTTTTGACTTGCTCGTAGCCTTAATCCCTCAATCTTGGGACTTGTCGTCTCTAGTAGGTATATGGTAATATTAGCATATGAATGAAGGTTCTTTGTGTTCGCCTTATTATCGAGAATGTAATATCCGTTCTCTGGAGCAACAAGTATTTGGAACATGTCATCCGACACCATTCAATTGTTCATCACGACTATGTGGCTTAACTAGATCCAGTTTTCTCCATATATCATGTGATCTGATCTTCATCTGGGAGTTTCTTGTATTCTGTGTGTTGACATTCTTTTATAATGTATGGTTCGATAGTATGGTGCTTTAGATATTGTTTATGAATGTTGTACCACATATTAGACACGTTTCAAGCTGCAAAAAAAAAGTGTTTCCTTATTCCTGACTTGGTGTATTTCATTTTGCAGATTCTAGATACCAATCCCCAACTTTATTTTCATTTACAGCAACAGAGACTGATTGAGTTGATCCGCAGTGGAAAAATAGAGGAAGCTCTAGAGTTTGCCCAGGAGGAGCTTGCACCAAGGGGGGAAGAAAATGTAATTCCTTCTTTCATATTTTCATGGATATTTATTCATATCGTCATGTTTTCTCATGTGGCTTGCATTTATCATACTTAATTTGGAAGTAGTATGTGAGCACATGCCTTGCTGCCATGTTGAGGTTGTTCCAGTGCGGCCTGGGTGTCAAGTGTCATATAAACAGCATCCACGTATGTACGGGTTGTGTCGAAAGTTGCATATGATGGTGCTTTGTGTAACACCCCTGATTAGTCCCACATCGAAAGTGGGCAGGATTAAGATTGACTTATAAGAGTTTGATGAGTGTACTACTATCAACTTCAGCTTAAGCATTTTGGTCAGTGGATTAGACCAAACGAAGTTGATAGGCTAGTTAGCTCATCAGGCTCGGGTTATAATATTTTGGTATCAGAGCCGACCTAGCATTTGGGCATGGTGAGGGGGCTCGAGTAGGAAAGGGCTACCCGTAGACGGAGTCAGAGGACTCGTCACGGCGTGGAGCCACCACTGGGCTACGCCTCACATGCACTATGCTAGGGTTTGATCTGGGTTATGTAGGGGCTTGACGAGGACGTCAAGCCTTTGAGTGGGGGTGATTGTAACACCCC